AAATAATCATAATATTTTAATAGGTTCATATCCTGTACATTTAATTTTTATTTTTATTCTTGACTAGGCTCAGAAGAACGCTGCTAATGGGGATGCTAATGGAGATGCTAATGGTGATGCTGGGGATATAATTGAGTTCTACAAACTCACACATTCCAATGATAAACATGGTTGGTCAAATAATGAGGCAAACGAAAATTGGGTAATTCACACTTTCATATTTGTATTGGTATTGTTATGTTTTAGATAGGCATGATATATATTTGTAATCCATCAGGAGTTGATGGTATCGAGGCGAGAAAAATATATAGCAGAAGGAGCTCATAAGACGAATCAAGAAATTGTTCACGAGGTGCTTGGTCCAAGATCTGCTTATCTGAAGGGACTGGGTTATCAGACAAATCAGTTAAACAAAGGCATTTTTGCTCCAGCCAACTAAAGCCTTCAAAAGGGAAAAGAGCTTCAAGAAACTTGAGAAAAACTAAAAGCGTCAGAATCACAAGTGAGTGAGCTCAAGGAAGAAGTTAGTGGCTTGAAGAACTTATTGGGCCAACAAGGTGCATATATTGAAAAGCTTAAGGCATTCATGGCTTCCAAAGGAAATACTTGAGGTAAACAATTGGATGTAAACAATGGGGTTTGTTTTATATTTGTGAAAATATGCTTTGATAAATGTAAATATATGTGTTGATTCATATGTTTTATGTTTACAGGTGATTGTTCTCTTTGATGTTGATGGATAAATCGAGACTTTTTAGCAAAACTAGAAAATAAGTCTATGGATTTGGAGATTTGTTTCTTAAGTGTGAATTTAGTATTTTTCACTTAATATTCAAGTACTATTGTTTTTTGTTTTAATTATGAACATTTTATATAATTCCTTTTAAATATAATCATTTATTTTTATTTCACCGAATATATTATGTCATTATCTAATTTACTGACTAATGACAATAGTATTTTTATGATAATTTTCAATTTGTTACTAAAAGCAATATTTCGTGACACACTAAACTATGACTAATATTATGGTCAAATATTTTGGCATAAAATAGCCTATTTATGACTAATATTTTGTCACACTGAACTTCTTTAAAGTGACAGTATAAATATCGTCACATTTTTATATATATTTGTGACGATAAACACAATGTCATATAATACAATCTTTCTATGACTAAAGATATCGTCACCTTTAATTTATTTATTTGGTGACAATGAATATTTCATCATTAAAACATAATTTTAAGTGACATTTTCGTTCGTCATTATAAATATTTCATTGGTGACAAATAATTTTTTGTAACTATAGCACAACTCTTGTTTTGTCATTATATGTGAATTTTAAGACGACGAAACCATATATGCTCGTCATATAAAGGCCAACTTTTAGTGACAATATAGATAAGTTTGTGACAAAATTTTCATGATAAATGTGACAAATCAATCGTCACCAAATCTCACAAAAGACAATGACAATACTATTTTTTGTCATATAAAGGCTAACTTTTAGTGACAAATATAGATAATTTTGTGACAAAAGTTTCATGATAAATGTGACAAATCAATCGTCACCAAATCTCACAAAGGACATTGACAATACTATTTTTTGTCATATAAAGGCTAACTTTTAGTGACAAATATACATAATTTGTGACAAAAATTTCTTGACAAATGTGACACATCAATCGTCACCAAATCTCGCAAATGTACAATGACAATACTATTTTTCGTCACAAGTTCAAAACATTATATGACAAAATTGAAAAATTGTCATTTAGACCTAATATGACGCGGCTACAGTGACAAACTCTGTGACATTCAAAATTCGTCATCAAATATATTTGGTGACAAAAACTCACATTTTCATGACAAATTTTTTTGTCATTTTTTTTCAGAATTCTTGTAGTGATTGCATAAATAAATAAACTGCAAACATATGTACTTTGACCGAAACATGATGGCCAGATCAAAATGGAATTGATAGAATCTGTAAATAGGAGCTTTTACAGCATACCTCTAACACGGGCGAGCAGTCGAAGTCGATCGGCGACGAAAAGGCAAGCACGAGCAGATGGCGCGAATCGTGCCTTGATGCGCGTGATAGGAAGGGGCACACGCGGATGGCGTCGGGTGCACGCGGGAGCGCGATAGAGGATTGGAGCGCCGGCGTAGACGAGACACGCTGGGAAACCGCGGGGCGCGGTGACGATGGCGAGACGTCGGGCGTGCGCGGTACTCGCGTAGGTGGCGAGGACGCGCGGCAGTTAGGCAGCAATGACGAAGCGCGCGCATTAGCGCGCAAGTGGGGAGCAAGCGCGGGCAGAAGCCGAGGCCGGGTAGGAGTAAGCGTAGCGGGCGGCGGCGTGCACGCGCGAGAGGAGGGCGGCGGAGCGATGCCTCGCGCGCCGAGGAGTAGGAAAGCGAAGGGCGGCGCGTTAGGGCGGTGGCGTGTAAGGCGGCCGAAGTGCTTTGGGGCGTGCGAATGACTTGAGCTTCAAGGATTTGGCTTGGAGTGCAAGTCAAGCAAGAATAATTATAGTAATATTAGGATTTTGTTACTTTCTAGTGTTAGGATTTCTATTATTGCAAGATTTAGGAGATCTAGTTTGATTAGGCTTAGATTTAATTTATGCACCTATAAATATCCATTTACCTCTTCATTATTAAAAAGTCTGGGAATTGATGAGTGAATAGAAAAGGGGAACGTTGTGTTCTTCGTGTGTTTAAACACGGCCATAGTGCGTGTTTATATTACAAATCTGTCGGAGAGAAGGCCCTTAGAGCGTCTTGAAGTCACACGTGTCTAAGAGAAGGCCTTGAGTGCGTTTGTTAGTCACACCTATCGTGTGTAGTCAAAGGCCCTGAGTGTGCGATTACTCACACCAAATAGACAAGAACCGCGATCTTGCATCACACTGCCGGCGGCGCTGCCCGCTGTGTGCGGACAGGCCCTACGGTCGGCACCTCGCCGGCTGTTCGGCAACTTTTTCTGGCAAAGCTTACATGACTAATTATAACATGACATATAATGACTAAATATACATAAATTGCTCGGGAGTGCTCGGCTAGAATATAACATGGCTCGGGAAGGGCTTATATAGTACTTCCGAGTGCACTTTTGCATTAAACATGGTTTAAACTTTTTTTTTTCAACATGATTTCTTTAGCATGAACATGAAATAACTACGAGAAGGTTAAGATGAATATACCCCTCCAAACGCTCGATGAAATTGCTAGGGTTGGCGTGTACTTGCTCGTAAGCTTGCACCCGATAGAACGTGTACTTTAACAATGACTAGGGCAAGTTATTATCTCTTGGTTTTGCATGAAAATGCATGAGGAAAAACTCAAAATTTTACTATATAAAATAGATAAAAGATAAAGGTGAAAAATGATGGTAAAATAGGATGGCGCCACTTGCCGTGCATGCGAGCTTCGGTGGCATTTGCTTAGCCTAGTCATCACCCGATGTGGCACTCAAAGGCTTGGCTTAGTTATCACTTGAAGGCTTAGTCATCAAGTGAATATCCATGTGTTGCCACATAACCTAAGCATGTAGGTGACTAAGCTTGCAAGTTGCAAATATTTTAACTTATAGTACAAATTCTGATGGCAATTTCCTTGGGCTTAAGGTTTGATTACTTAGAAATGATCTTGGTAATTATTAGTACATAAGAATATGATGGACGGTGGCTGCCGCGCGCGCACGCACGCTCACGCACGATGACGGGCGTGCGTCGCTCGCGGTAATGGTGTGCACGGCATGCGTGTTAATGACTTAGGGCATGGTGCTGGTAATGGTGTGCACGGCGTGCGTGTTAATGACTTAGGGCATGCTGCTTGAAATGCTTGGACGATGTACCAATGGGAACGCGGCGATGTATAGGGATGGTGTGTACGCCTGACAACTTAACCCAAATTTACTCCCCGAATTTACTCATTTTCGGTTGAAACTTGACTTCGAAAATTAATTTGAATATTCTTGATTTCACATAATTAATCCCAAATAATAATGTCCGTTTATAAAATAAACGGTTTGGGAACTAATTATCAAAATGAACTCGATCAATAAAATAAACTGAATAGACTTTGGACTTAAAGTCGAACTTATTGGCTTAAAAGCTGAAATGAACATTATTAAAAAAAGAAAATACGTCTCTTTTATTAATAACAAACTGGGTTATTACAGATAAGGTCGTTAAGAAGATGTAAAAAACACTTAACGTTTCAGAATCATTTTCTGCCAAAAGTACAAAACCTATCTCATGCATATCCTCAATCAATTTAACATAATTCGAGCTACAGATATCATATCAGCATGAAATTTACCCCATCAGAAATCTACGAAACATACCTATAACTTTTATGAAGATCAAAAACTCATTTGAGCACATTAAGACACAATAAACATGTCAAACATTTAGTGTAAACTTGTTGCTGGGTTTTTCAGAAAACTGTTCGCACATTAATTTTGTAAAACTCATATCTCACTAGATATAAATCGGATTATCGAAATTCTAAAGCCTAGAGAAAGCTAACAAAAAGAACTACATTTCACATGAAGAATCCAACTTCAGATAACGGGTTTCTGAGGGCCAAAATACAGGCGCAACAGAGCATAAATTTTGAGATAAATCATGCCATATACACATTATGCGATTTATCCCCTAAACAACATTAAATAAGCACATATGCATCTTCATATCACTCATAGTTACCATGCTCGATCAACATCAACATCAGTCCATCAAACTCCATAAAGAACAACCAATATCAATTTAACATGCCGTTTAAAATAAAAAAACGAGAACCACACATATTACACATAAACATATAACCTAACTAATAATAACACCCGTTTAACACATTAACATAAAGGGTTAATGAGCCTCGGAGTACCGTTCTCGAGAAAACACTCGAGAGGAGTCGAGAGACGGCTAGAAAAGGGCTATCGGTGCGCGTGCGGGTGCTCGGCAGCGTTGCTTGACTCGCTGCAGAGGCTCACGGTGGCACCGAACGTTGATAGCTGGCCTCGGGGCTGGTCTTGGTGGTTTGCCCACGGCTTTTGGGCTGGTCCCAGCTTGCTGTTTCTCGCACGTAGTCACAAGCGGGGAATCTCCGGTACATCAACTCGACGATGGTGGCTCGTGGGTGCTTGCGGGCGATGACTGCTACTTAATTGAAAAGATTCCCGGCGTTCTTGCCCGTGATCAGAGGGGATGGTCTCGCTTAAGATCTCTTTGGATCATTCAGGAGGTATGGAGCCATGGTTTTTCGCAGCCCCGATAGCTCATCTTATCTAGGGCGAGCAAGGTAGCTAGGTAGACAGAAGAAAGAAGTCACAGTCCTTTGTTCAGAGAGAAAGCAAATGCGACAACCGAAGCAGGGGACATGCAAGCAGTGAAAGAAAGGATCTACAACTCGCTACCTCCTAAGGGAAGGGATCAGATTCAATGAGTACACTTATTAAAAGTGTGCATGTGAGACTCATTCTTAGCCACTAGATTGATACATGATGCGTGGCTAAGATTTAGCTTGTCATTTAAATAATAATTCTTTATTTTTATTATTTAATTCTTAATTTTTATTATTTTAATTATTTAAATAATATTTTGACAATTGACCATTGACTCCCGCGTTGACTGTTGACTCCAGCGTTGACCGTTGACTTCCAACGTTGGCCCGTTGACCCCTAGTATGCATTATGTATGAAATAAACATTCATACAGTACTATGCACTTAATATTAACTAAATATGCATAAGATATGAATTATATATGTAATCCTTATGAACTAACTATGCACCATTAATATCAACTATGTATGCACTGTTTATGTACTAAATATGCACATTTTACTAACTAAATATGCATCATTAATGAACTAAATATGCAACGAAAATATACAACAAAATATACATTTTATACAATTAAATTAGGTATAATAATTAGTGTTTTTATTATATAATTAATTTGAATTTTAAATAGATTAATATAAGTTACTGATCAACACAAATAAATTGTTATGAATTGGATCTCAAATGAACTAAATATGCACTGTTCATGAATTAATTATGCATTTCATAAGAACTAAATATGTATCATGAATTAACTATTTAGGCATCATAAATTAACTATATATGCATCATTATATATTTAATTTAAATATAACAAATATACATTTCGTATAAACTAAATATGCATCATAAATTACCTAAATATGCATCATAAATTACCTATATAAAATGTACATTTTATTGCATATTTTTGCTGCATATATAGTTCGTTCATGATGCATAATTACTTCATAACATATGCATATTTAGTTAATAACAGGTGCATACTTTGTTATATTATTGATGCGTATTTTTTCATAAGGACTGCATGTGCAATTCATACCCCATGTATATTTAGTTCATATTAAATAAATGCATGGTAAATTAACTAAATATGCATCATAAATTAACTATATAAGCATCTTATATATTTAATTTAAATATAACAAGTATGCATTCGTATTAACTAAATATGCATCATAAATTACCTAAATATGCATCATAAATTACCTATATAAAATGTACATTTTTATTGCATATTTTCGTTGCACATTTAGTTCATATTAAATGCATGGTACTGAATGCATATTTACTTCATACATACTGCATACCAGGGTCAACAGGTCAACACGAAAGTCAACGGTCAATACCGGAAGTCAGCGGTCAACGCCGAAAGTCAACGATCAACACCGGAAGTCAACGATCAATACCCGAAGTCAATACCGGATGTCAACGGTCAACGCTGGAAGTCAACAATCAACGCTGGAAGTCAACAGTCAACACTAGAGTCAACTAATAGATTATTTTATTATTTAATTATTGTATATATAAATTAATTTTGATCTAGACAAAATGAGTGGCTAAGATTGAGTCTCACATACTCATTTTATAGGGTGGTCTCCTTGGATCCACCCCGTATATATGTATATATATATATATATGTATAGAGAGAGGATCCAATGAGTCCATATATTAAAATGTGAACGTGAGATCCATTCTCAGCCCTTGGATCTGGCTTTTAAATCTACGGTCAGCATTAAGAGTATAATTACAACTCCCTCGCGCACCAAAATTGAAAAAATATCTCAAATTTCCTTCTCAATCACGATTCTCTGTGGTTTCCTTCTCAATCTCGATTTCCTTCTCAAACTCGATTTTCATATCAGTTCGAATTTCGATTTCATCATCTGATTAGGTTAAACTCTCATTTTTTATTGATCCGATAAACATACTCAACTGCATATCAAAATATCCAGAGGAAAAAGTCGATCAAAATCATCACATCCGTAAGGTTCATGAGATTTGTCTGCAAATGTCGGCAGAAGCAGCTTCAATGGAGATGGAAGCAACTCCAGTTGCGACATTGATGGAAGAAGGTGAACCGACTTTATTTTTTTCCAAATCAATTCGTTGAATTTTAAATAAATATGTGCTTCTGAATTCAACATTCATGTGAATCGAGTTATTTAATTAGATCGATCACATTATATTAAGACAACTGTTCGTGCTTATCTGCAATTCTGATTTGGAGGTAGAATCTCTGTTTTCTAATAAGCATATTACATATGATGTGGTTTATGAATACATGTGCATGGATAAATAACTAAATATGTAATATGTATTAATAATTATGCACGCAAAAATTGGGTGTTGCACTGTTATGCTTGCACATTAGATGAATATATATGAAACAAACTATGCATGAAAGAATAAATAAATATGCATGATTATATCAATAAGTATGCACGTCATAATTGCTTATTCATTCATCCAGATGTTCTGCATTACAATCATATATGCAATGTCGTATATCTAACTAAGCAACTTTATTGAACTAAGTATGCAAAAGTCTCCTGTTAAGAATGCATGTTATAATTGCAGTTGTTTTATATTATAACTGTATATGCACCGTTTCAATTATAAAATAGCAACATTGTTGAACTAAAATTGCAACAGTTCTCAAAACTTGTTTTTCTTCTTATATTTTGTAGTAGGTACTACTCATGAGGGATCTCAGATTCAATTGGTGATATCGCCAAATTTAACAAAGTATTGGATGCTAATCGTCTAACAAGATATAAAGCCTAAAGTCGGAATGATGTTTTCAAACCATGATATTGCAAAGGAATTCTACAGAAACTATGGAGCAAATGGTGGATTTGATGTGCAGACTTACACAACAAAACAATTTAGAAGTGGCGTGATAAATAAACAGTATATGGTTTGCAATAGAGAAGGATTTAAGCCAGAAATCCCACAAAATACTTCAAAGAGCATGTCATAACTACATTCTGAGTCAGGTGTGGTTCCACGACACCGTGTGTCGGAAAGGGTTAGTTGCAAAGCTCGAGCAGTATTTGAGTATGATGGAAATGGGTACAAAATCGCCGAATTCGAAGAAAAACATTGTCACGCCCTGTCATTGGAGACACAATATCTCAATGCAAACTGGCAATTGAATTACTGACACCAAAAATTTATTCTTAATTGTGTGAGAGCAAACATCGGCACAACTAAAAGCCATAGATTGTACAAGGAGATGCTTGGGGGAGATGCTAACGTTGATGCTCTCAAACTTGATTTCAAGATCTACAAGAGACAACTTATGACTTACATGTCAGGAGCAGATGCACAACTCATCGTTCAAAAATTCCACCAAAAACCTGAAGTATGCCCAGACATGTCATTTGAGTACACAATTGATGGAAATAACAAATTAAGCAAGATATTTTGGGCAGACACAATTTCAAGAAAAAATTACCTGATTTTTGGAGATGTCGTCTCATTTGATTCAACCTACCACACTAACAGGTACCTCATCTCTTATTGGTAACTACTGCATATAAAAACAAAAAGTATCTTATTGTTAAAGTTGTGATAATACATTTCCAATATGTTCAAATTGTTATGATATCTCTTATTGTTATAGTTGTGAGTGTAATGAATTAAATATGCAACATGGTTGAACTAAATATGCATTCATTTATAACTTAGAATGCATCAATGTATATATAGAAATAAGTATAGAGATTTTATTTTGACACAGAATAGTCCGCATGACTGGACAATTAAGTATGCATGTTTTTATATCTAAATAGGCAACTAGTGTAAATTTATATATTGTCATAACTAACTAATTTTATTTTATACAGGTACAAGATGGTGTTTGTACCATTTACTGGAATAGATAACCATAAAAAGTGTGTAACATATGCAGCTGGATTGATTGTTAAAGAGGATGAAGAATCCTATATTTGGCTGTTGGAAAATTTCTTGAAGGCTATGGGACATGAACCATATTACATTGTTACCGACCAAGATCCCGCCATGAAGAAGGCTATCCAGGCAACTTTCAAACATGCGAGACATCGTTTATGCATGTGGCATATTATGGAAAAGGTAAATGTAAAGGTTGGTCCTACTTTATCCAAGGATAATTCATTCATCAAGAGATTAAATGACATAGTCTGGGATATTTATATTACGCCTCCTGAATTTGAAGAAAAGTGGGGAACTTTGATGAACGAGTTTGCCTTGACAGAAAATCATTGGTTTTGTTATCTGTTTAAGATTAGAAAGTCATGGATCCTAGCATACTTTAGAGATGTGCAAATGGATGGTTTGCTTAGGACAACTTCGAGATCAGAAAGTGCAAATAGTTGGTTTGGAAGTTACATATCTCAACATGCAAACTTAGTTGAGTTCTTTATGCATTTTGAAAGTGCAATGGATGCACAAAGGCATGTTTCACGTAAAATGCACCATGAATGTGTGACTACACCTCCTGACTGAAAGACACCATTAGAAATAGGGAAACATGCTGCAAAAGTTTATACTAAGACAGTATTTTCTGAGGTACAAACAGAAATTGAGGCAACATGTTTTCGGTGTGTGCCTATCTAAATCCAAAAGGAGAATGATGTAACAAGATATAAAGTTGTGGAAATTAGTCGTGATGATCTTGAATTCATTGTAGATAAAGGTCCGGATACTGTACATTGCACCTGCAAGATGTTTGAACAATTTGAATTATTATGTAGTCACATACTAATGTTCATCAAGGATTTAGACAGACTACCTGATCACTACCTTCTTAACCGTTGGCTGAAAGCTGCATCTTCAGGTAATGAGTTTGAAAATGGAAAATTAGCTGCAGTACATGGCAACAATCATCGAAATCGCTAT